TTTATAACAATAATATTTAAAAGTAATTTCTCGAAAAAATCAAATGCACGTAAAAATGTTTCTAAAAAAAAGTCTAATTTTGCAATCTCCTATATAGACCAAATGTAAAAAATTAAAATAGAGAATTAAAAATTAAACATTATATATTTTAATCTTTATATTAAATTATATATATATTTTTCTATAATATATTTTTATATAAATTTTATATATTTTTTTCTTACTTTAAAAAGCTATAGGTTCTTTCCAACAATAAGTGTAAAATTTATACTATATATAAATTTTATAATTTTAGTACTTATAACAACAAAAGAGATAACACGATCGAATTGAAACGGTTGACAGAACTTATTTTATTTACACGTAAAACCATGTTGAGTAAAAGTTTTAAAGAACCGAGAAAATGCATATTAGTCGACCTGAGTTAAAAATTTTCGAGTGATAAAAAACATCCGTCATACATCAATAATGCAACAGAAACATTGCAGCTGTAGCATACTGTACTGCTGCTGCATTGACATGTAAAATGCTTTACTTTCAACGCTCGATGAATCCGTATGCATGAATCGCTAAAATCTCAATTAATTGCACGAGTTTCGGCGACATTGATCCACACGCGCGTCTCTTTGTAAAACCTAGATTTCTATTTGTACAAACCGAGCAGATTGAATGTGGCGTCGGTGTATCGTAAATGCAAATAGTTGACAAGATACCTGATTCAGTCAATTTAGGGATCGGATAAACTTATTGTGCGTAGCTAAACGAGCCAATCGTACAGCTATTATTTGCATAAAATAAACAATTATTATTACGTATAAATGTAGTAGATATAACTATAAGATAAGATATGTATATAGCGTAAGATATAATTCACACAAACATAATTATGAGAATAAATAGTATTATAGAATAAATAATTATATAACAGGTTTCTGCAATAAATTTGTAATAAGATGATTTTTACATTTTTACGAATTTCTTAAGATATCTATATTATAAATTAATTATGTAATTTTTTTCTAAATTCTCCCTTAGATAAATACGTTTTTTAAAGCATTAGTCACAGTATTTGTAACATAATTTTGAAAAATTATGGTTTTCATTTTAAAATCCAAATTTCGTACAAATTTTTTAGTTGAATTATTCATATGATATCGCAATATTAAATAAACTCTCAATATTAAATAAACTTTTATCTGTTTAATGATCCATATCGCAAATTAAAGTCATTTTTAACTAAAAGTTTCTCAGCACGAACATAAACATAATATAATTATAAAGCAAGGCTCATTAATTGATGTTTGCTAAGATCAAAGATCTATTATATTTACCTTATATACAAAGGTACGCAATTACCAAAGCGGTAGGGATTGCAATTTCATGATGCTTTTAATTAAAAGCGTTTATGAAAATATGTGGACGAGAAAGTGTAATGAACTTTTATCTATATTTAAATTTTTATTGGAAA